AGAAGCTGTGGTATATTCAAGCATCTTAAAAGTGAAAAACACATCAAGTTAGATGAGTTCAGAGAATGGCTTTTTGGACCTAAAGTAACTTGCTGTTGTTAGGTGCCATTGAGTTGAATACGACTAATAGAGCGCCTGTGAGCAAAAGATCTGAACCCTGTTCTATCCTGTGCCTTCCTCACACTTGCTGACACACAAGAACCCACTGCAGGAGTCACCATGTCAATCCAACTGGTTGAAGGTCTTCCTCTTCTTCGCCAACCCTCCACCCTTCCCAGAATTATGTATTGTGAGAGTTAATAAAAGTAGAGTTGATGAAGTAAAGGCTTGCCTTGTGAGAGGCAGAGGCAAAGATAACCATATAATAGAAGACATCAAGATATTTGGAACACAGAACAATCATCAGTTTAAGTTGGAACTTGCACACTTTAAATAGTCATAACCTCCAAATGCAAAACACTCACCAGATAGAAACTACATACGCATTCTATAGCATCCATGTCATGAAACTTGGCTATTTGGTCCTTTTGTTCTCCTCTGACAACACCATTTATGTTTTCAGTGGAATTGACCTCACGAGTCTCTGCCTCTTTTCCAAGGTGTTCTTGGGATGTTCTTCCTTATATTCTACACTTGGTCAGTACTGGCCAGTTCTTTTCAAAGCTTTTAGAGACATTCTTCTTCAGGGTTACCTGTGACATTCTTATTCCCTGGCCTTAAAAAGATGAATTACACCCTTATCTTTAGTCTCCAAGCAAGTTTTTTACATTTGGTTTTATTAATTATCATCTTGTATGAGAATTACCTGCTTTTCTGATTTTATTACTTAGTAAAAATCTATTTTACTTATCTTAATGCCCCCAGTATCTGAATACAGTAAGTACCCCATAAGAATAAATAAGTAAATTACAATTTCCTCAATTCTCAGAGCTGACCCCTATCGTGCTTATCTCTTTTAAGAAGGAAAAGAGAAATGAACATTATAATGATTAGCTTATAAATCAGAGACTCCAACGTCAGAGAACAAGAGATACCCTTCAGCTAATAACAGCATGGAAATGATAGTGAGTGGAGGACCTATAGTATTTAAAAGTACATGGAAGAAACAGACTGAGGCTGATGCAGCTTAATGATTGGGAAATTATTCACCTTCAACTGCAGGCACTGGTCTAGCATCTTCTTGCGTTGTTCCCAAGCTCTCTCTAAGTCATTTCTCTCTTGTCTGACATCCTGAAGCTTTCTCTCAATCTCCAGGCTGTCACGGTGATCACTGGCTATAAGTTCTGCACCAAAGTCCTCTAATGCCTGAAAGGCTGGGACCTCAGCCTCCATGTCAGCTCGGTGCTCCTGTGGGGGAAAAAAGGCAGAGATTTATGAAAAACCTACTAAAAAATGTAAAATGAGGGCAAGTTGTGAAGTCCATTGATAAGAGGCTATGATTTTGGGCTGTTTTTTTGGTTTGTTTGTTTGCTTATTTTTTAGCTATACCTGGTGTCGCTCCAGCATGATCTCTGTGCCAGTTAAGTCCTCAGCCAGTTCCTGTGATGATACCATACCACCAATACCGCTGATCCAATTCTGAAGATCCCTAGAGGATATTACAGGATATTAGCACTGACAAAAAAATCCTTGTAACTTGCTAAAGGACTATCTGCCTACTACTTCTCTATTCCAAGAAGAGGGATTAACATATATCTGACTGTATATATTTATCTCTGTATATCTATCTCTTGAGCGATCTAAATTTGCTTTTTGTCTTTTGTCATTTAAAGACAGTAATCTCCAGCATTTGAAGAATTTTCCCCATATATCTCCTTTTTCATTTCTTATAACAATCCTGTACAGATGTTGACCAACAATGAAAAGGCAATTATGTAAGAGTTATGTGTTATAACTGAAAGCAGGTATCTGAGTTGGAACCCAGGCTTTTTGCATCCTATGCCAGTCTGCACTCCTATCAACTCCTCTTCCTTTAAGTGGCTTCTTGGGTTTAAAGATTGTTTTATTCTTCAGTCTCAAGAAAACCGTACACTTCCTAAATCTTTACTTTCTTTATTCACAATAAAATTTAGCACAGGTTTCTGCTCGCTAACCACACACATAAACAAAAGCAACACAGTTGATTAAGTTTATTTTCCATTATTTTTGTAGTAAAAAAACAAAAACAAAAACAAAAAACCCAACAAACTATTTAGACTTAAAAATCTATCCTTTCTAGAAGTCAACTATCAAATAGTCATATATTAAAATTTTATATGGAGGTCAAATTAAACATCTCATAAAGAGTACCCTGACTTCAGGTTATTAAGTAGAAATTATTAGCCCAGATTGAAGGCAAAATATTCCTTCTTTAATAATTTCATTCATTTATTTATTCAAGCAACTAAGTTCTATTGTTTACTCATTATTTAACACGAGGGACAGACATAGTCTTGGCTTTTAAGAAATCACAGTTTTTCACTGAAAAAAGGAAAATGCAGATCACACTTTGATACCAATAGTGATTAAAAAAACAACAAAACAGTCAAAACCTTGTCCTGTAGAAGCATTATGTTTGCTTGTAGAAGCCGTCCCGTTGATTGTGACTCTTAGTGACCCATTTGGCAGCAGAACTGACCCATATTATTTTCTAGGAAGTGGTTTTATGCAGATCTGCAGGCCTTTCTCCAGTGTAGCCAATGGGTGGCTTCTAACAGCAGCCAACAGATCAACATCTGGGCAACTAGGCTCCTTGAAGGAGGGTTGCAGCTACAGAAAAAAACTCTCACCCTCGCCATGTCTTTGCTGGTGTGTTAAGCACTCAAATTCTTTAATGGCCAGCCAGTCAAAATCAATTCCTAGTTGACACACCGCAAGGCTATAATTCACACAGAAGGAAATTGCCCGTCTTTCTCCTCTGAACTCCTGCTAGATTCTATCTGCTGGAGAAGCATAGCATTTCAGTTAACAATACAACTCCCTGAGGGTGTTCAAATATGCTTTACATTAAAGATGTACAGTTAAATATGTTGTTCTTCTTAAGTGCCATCGAGTCATAGACAACTCATAGTGACCCTATAAACGAAAGACCTGAACACTTGAATAACTGGTTGTTTCTCCATGTTCACAGAGTTTCCGGAGGCAAGCCATTTCAGAAGTGGATGCCACTCCTGCTTCCAAGCTTGTTTTAATCGGGGAGCTCCACCAAACACTGTCCACTATGGGTAACCATTATTACAGTTGACACATCAGTGTCACAGTGTTTAGCATCACAGCAACCACGAGTTACCTCTGTACAGCAAATGGACAGATCAGTGCTATATACCTGGAATGTTCATGCATATAAGATGTATGGGGGAATGAACATGGACCTCAGGATGCTAATAAAGTTTCCCTGAATTGGAGCGGAAAAGCCTTCCCATGATGTGAACTAACTATACAAATGATAGAGAACAGGAACTATTAAATTGATAAGCTATGTATAGATTGTTGTTCTAAAGTTGGAGCCAACTCATAGCTGACACTCTGGCAGATTTTTAAAAGTAGTTAATTGCATGGGAGAAGATTGCCCATCCTTTTCCCACAAAGCAACTGGTGTATTTGAACCAGGTGCCTTTGGGATTGTAGTGCAGCTTCTTGCCATGAGGCTGGCAGGAAGCAGGAGTGGTATCCACTTCCTAAACAACTTGCCTCTGGAAATTCTATGAACTTTGATAAAAGATTATAGTTATAGAAAGGCTTCAGGCCTTTTGTTCATAGGATCACTATAAGTCGTGCTTGACTCGATGACAATTAACAACAACAACAAAACACCTAAACTCTTGAAAAATGCCAGATTGTTATAAAGAGAGGAAGCATGATTTTAAAGTTCTCAGAAACTGAAATATTTCTGCTCTGATGAAGAGTAACAGTCTCTATAGGAAAAGATGTAGCACTTGCTCTGGAACCTGAAGTTTGGATAGAACCAATACCTGCAAATATATGTATCTAGAGAATTAATATGGGTGCTATTCATGTAAGACTTCTAGTTATGAAAAGCTTTCTAGAGGTATAGAATTGCAGAGGAAGAGGTTATGAGTAAGCACAGTCACTTGCCAAATTGTGCCTTCTTTATTCTCTAGCATCATGCATTGTGGCCTGTTAATTTCCACAAACCCAACTTGAAATTCCCTTCTTTGTAGACTAATATATTGAGGAATAATAGTTCTACCAGTATAATACATATTTACAAGTGATTTGTTGATTGGAACAACCTTTTTTAAAAATTTTATTTTATTAATTTTAATGAACATTTACAGAGATTTTGGATTTCCATTCATTCATTGTTGCACTTCTTTCTTCCCTCCCCTCTCCCCCCCCAGTTCGCACCTCTCTTCAAAAAGCAAAAGATAAACTTCTTCTTTGGCACACAATCCTTGCTCTCTCGCCCTGCCCCAAATGCACTCCACTATGCAGCCTTAATTCTGGATTCCTGTGATTATCATAATACCCTATCACATATCACTTTTAAACTGTTCTCTCCCTCATCTGTTTCAATTCAGTATACATAATCAATCCAGTTTTTCTCAATCTTACCCCAACTTTGATGTCAGTCTCATTCTACAACAGTGGCACTATGCAGTATTTGTCTTTTTGTGACTGAGA